GTATTTGACAATGACTATGTGTGTTGAAAGCTTTTCCACAGTGCTTACACATATACGGTTTCTCCCCAGTGTGAGTTCTTTCATGTATTTGACAACAACTATGTGTGCTAAAAGCTTTCCCACATTGTTTACATACATAGGGTTTCTCCCCTGTGTGAGTTCTTTCATGTACTTGACAGTGACTGTGTGTGCTGAAAGCTTTTCCACAGTGCTTACATACATAGGTTTTCTCTCCAGTGTGGATACTTACATGTCTGTGAAAAGAATTACTGTAAGTGAACCCTTTCTTCCATTCCTTAGACACACAGGGTTTCTCTTCAGCGTGCCTTTGTTCAGGTATTTGAATATAGTGGGATGAAATAAAGGCTTTCTCATACTGTTTACATACATATTGATTCACCCCACTGTGATTTCTTTCATAGATCTGAACATCACTGGGTGTGTTGGAGGCTTTCAGGTTTTGCTTACATACAAAGGCTTTCTCTCTGAGGTAAGTTCTTTCACTAAGATCAGAGCAGGATTTCCCACACTGTTTATGTTCATGGGGCTTCTCTCCAGCATTTGTCCTTGCGTACTTCTGATGGGACTGCAAATCACCACACGTTCTTCCATTTTCATCACATTTATACAGCTCCTCTTCAAAGCCCAAATATTCAGATGGCTTCAGTCCAGTGGGAGCTATGATGGGTACATTTAGTGACAAATACCCAATCAGGGGCTTTCTACAAGCAAGACTTTCAGCTGGTTTTAAACCAGCTTGTTTCATATTCACATTAGCATCTGGAGTCCAAAGGAATATTTCTTCATACTGAGTCCAAGCTTTATATTGATAATGTTTCACTACCTGTTCATTTCTGTGAAGAAAAAAAGTCACAATAAAATGGATCTCCATATTAATGATTTACCAGAAAAACTTCCCACCTTCTAAAAACTACTAACAATGAATTAACTGAATGGCCTGGAGGATAACTTTAAAATGGCCAATCCGAAATCAGTGGTATACATTTGGAAACTTTTAAATTGGAGTATTTTGCAATGCATAGGCTTAGTTCCATTCTGGGAAGTTGGTATATGTGTATATTATATATTGATCATTTTTGTTACCATTTCCCCATCACTCTCCCCCTTCTCTCCTTACCCCTCTTCTCTCCTTCCCAACTCCCAAAAGCCTGGCTTGCCCTTTTCTATCACCACTCCTTTACTTTACTCCCTAATTTGTATGTTGATTCTCTTATAAGAGAAACCATAAGATAGTTCACATTCTGTATCTGACTTATTTCACTTAACATTATGGGTTGAAGACCAACTCATTTCTTTTGCCAAATGACATGGTATCATTCATCTTTATGGCTGATTATATAGCACATTTTCTTTTTTTCTTTTCAGTGCTGGGAATTAAACCCAGGTCTTAGTACTGAATTACATCTCCTGCTTTTTTTATTTCTTATTTTGAGAGAGTTTCTCATTGATGATTAAGTTGCTTAGGCTAAGCTTCAATTTGCCATCCTGTTGAATCTGTTTCCCAGAGTGCTCAGTTTATAAAAATGCACCATCATGCTAAGCCTATCAAACATTCTATCCATGCATCCAATGATGGACATCAAGGCTGATTCCAAGACTTAGCTGTTATATATTGTTCTGTTTTGAGTATGGGTATTCATGTATCAGAATAATATGATTTTAACACTTCTGTGACTATACTCAGGAGAAGTACACCTGGATCAAATGGAAATGCTATTTTTTAGAGACATCTATGTACTGACTATCACAGTGGCATTAACATTCCCACCAACAATGTTGGAAGGTTTCTTCTAAGAATTTTACAACATGAATGGGCTCAATTCTCTGGTGGATGGCTTGAAAACATCTATTATTACAACACTGGCATTCATTTGCACTTTGAATACTGTTTCACAGTTAGCAATTTTTTAGATAGTGAATCTCTCACACTGAGATGTATATAAAAATCAATATCCAGAAGATGGGTCCCTGTCAAAACTCAAAATTTATTCTTTTCATATACACCTATACATAATACCTAAATGCATTATCATACATTTTCATGACATTGATCATGAAAGAACACTTTTATACTTATATATCAAATAGTGTCACTTGTTGGATGACATCAGTACTAACAGTTTCCTACACTGGAATATTTCTGTATTTGTCAGATTATACATACTCAAGCTGTATACATCTTTGGAGAATATTTGTGAAATTAAATTTGAACATGGCCTTGTTTCCTTGGTTGTCATATTTCTGCTCAGACACAGACACTTGAGGAACATTCTTTTTCCTTCAGAATGCAAATTACCTTAGATTTCTCCAGTACTTCTTGTATTCTTCTTCAACTTCCTGGTTATCCCAGGCTCTTCCTGAATTGTAGACATAAAAATATAAGCAATCACTATTTTATTACATAAACATTAGTAGATTCCAGTTAGATTCATTTTGTAATGCAACTAGACTTGTAATGTTCTTAAAAGTATTTTCACATTCTATTTAATGAAACTGCACCCAAAAGCAAGAAGCAATGTTCTCTGATTGTATAAATGAGAAACTGTCATCCTTACCTATAGCAGCTATGTTCATAAATGTTTCCCCCATCACATCTCTGTAGAGCTTCTTTTGGGATGCATTCAGCAAAGCCCACTCCTCCATGGTGAAATTCACAGTCACATCCTCGAAGGTCACTGCCTCCTAAATGACCATATATAAATTTCTTGAAGGAAGGTTGAGACTGACAGCCTGGGATAAAACGTTGAATTGAGACCCAGGTATAGTGGTGCATGCCTGTACTCCCAGTACTGAGGAGGCTGAGGCAGGAGGTTTGCCATGAGTTTGAAGCCAGCCTTGGCTACCAGCCTGCACTAAATAGTGACATTCTGTCTCAAAAAAAAAAAAAAAAGCTGAATGAAGGCTGAATCCTTCAACTACTAACTCCATGTCTTGGTCATCAAGTCCATGCCATGTGCAGGCACATTTTTAGACAGTAATTCTGATGCTAGATTGCCACTCACTGGTAAAGCAACAGCAGAAAAGGAGCACTGGTCCTTCTGCTGGGTGATTGCAAGGGTATCATCTGTGCACTGTCTCTAAAACAGAACTCATAGAGCCTACAAGATCACCATCCACAAAACAATGTGGCAGATGAATATCTAATGAATGGTTTTGACAGATCATAGGTGCTATCTCTTATCAAATATTATAATTTCTGATATTGAGTCCTTCTTTCTTTGTACTTAGGTGGTATTTTGAAACCTGAATTTGGTTTCATAGAAAAAACATAATTGAACATCAAATAAGGTTTATGAATAATAACTAAAATGGAAAACAGTTTTATTGGAACAAGTCTATAAATAATGAAAATAGGGAAAAGGTGGCATATTATCTTATAGGTCACTGTCACCAAATGATCATCACCTTGTGTTTGCATAAGACATTCCAGAAGGGTACAGGAGAGTAATGAGGGGAAGAAGATGAATAAAATGTATTTTATGCATTGAAAACCAATATATCACAAAATAATCAGGCACAAAAGGCACCAGGTGTGGTGGTACATGCCTGTAATCCCAGCACAAGGGAGGCTAGTGCAGGAGGATTGCCAGAGTTCAAGGCTACCCTGGACTACATACTAAGGCCAGTTGTAAATATAAAGTGAGACCCTGCCTCAAACTCCTCCCCAAAAAGGAAAACTTCGTAAAAATTGTGTCATTTACAAATGACACCTTTGATTTGTTAAAAAAAAATTATAGATGTAAAGTATAATAAATTTAACAAGAGTCAATACCTTCTTCTAAGCAAGAAAGTTGATAGCTTACATAATATACATTGAAAGACTCAAATTCCACCTTTCATGAGACTGTACTATTAGTAGAGCGAATGGCAAATGCATCTCAGAAAAGGAAGACAGTCTTCACTGGGTCTATATGTATACAGAATACTAATTGATGATAGAGCTGGTGTTACATGTGTCTGGAGAAAAACAGAATCTGTTTCATTTATGTTCAAGGAGAAACATTTATGTATTTGGAATCCTGTATAATCTTGTATATATAATAATTAAGTTATATATCAAAAAGAGAAAGATAAACTTGAATGCCTTGAGAATTCATAGTGAAATAAAGTGTTTCCTCAGAAAGAAACCAAGTAACCATCAGAATTAGGAGAATAAATTGAAATACTGATAATCATGGGAAATAAGACAAGAAAATACTTCCTGTGTACACAGTATAAACATTTTGCACAGGGGGTAAAGAGCAAAAAATAAATAAAAACTGACTACAACATAGCTAATGCAAGAAAAAACACTGACTAGCAAACAAGAACCAAATCTTTTTTTGAGAAAATTACCAAAAAAGAAGTGTGGAAAAACATAATAAGAAAGTAGACTTATGCAAGAATGGAGAATCACGTGATACACTCTGCATTTATTTCCTTTACTTTGGACTTGACCAGTGACTTGTTTGCAATGTCCAGAGATGTATGAATAAAAGTAAAAAAAAACAAAAACAAAAACAAAAAAAAACATTAATGTGTTCACAATGGAAATCATGCAAACCAAACTTTCACATCTACTGAAATAAAATTTAAATCAACAGCAGAACTACATTTAAAATACTCCTGAGAGTCAGACAGGCACATCTGCGGATGCCATAGCAGGGTCCCCAGCCACGGGGAACACACTGATCCAGCCCGTTTCAGACAGGAATACCTGTGGACGCTGTAACAGGGTCCCCAGCTATGGGGAACACACTGATCCAGCCCACACCCCAGCAACAATCCACACCCCCCCCCCCGGCCTGTTGGCTGTACTGCCACCTGGTTCCACGCTACAAAGACAGAGGACACTGGACCACCAGACCACTGTACTGGGTAAGTTGGAGCGATCATCACCTCCCATCGGAACTGGGACTATCTTCAGGGGAAGGGCAGCTGGAACCTTCAGTACAACCCTGCAGAGTTCCACCCTACAAGAGGACAGGTAAGTCAACTTGGGACTTGCAGCCAGAAATCTGCCTGAATCTCAAAGGTCTGCAACTGGCTTGCCAAGGCTCATTGACTTGTATCTGCACACTGCTACCCACATTATCTATTGTGACAACAGAGACATACCTTGAAAGAGGCCCTTCATTTTCATTTTTATTTTTTATTTCCAAAATTAGTATTATTGGTTTGTTTTTTTATCTTTTCTTTTTTATCCTCTTATGTTTAATTTTTTTTTTACTCTGCAAATACTTGTTTTTCTCTCTTTTTTTCTTCTTTTCTCTTTCCTTTCTATGACTCTTATACTCACTCTCTTGATGTCCCACATTGTTCATCCCCCTTTTTGTCCCTATTTTGGCCCTCACTTGGAGTTCTTCTTTATTTTTCTATTATTCTCTTTTTCCTTCTCACCTGTGTCCTCTGGCCTCACTTTTAACCTTCCCCTATCCTCCTACCTATCTATCCCTCCCTCCCCAACCCCTTCTAACTCACCATCAAAAAGGGTAAAGTTATTATATTGAAGAGTTTATTCACTATAAACATATGTTGGGTTGGTCCTTGATCTTGATTTAATTCACACAGTTAAAGGTGATAGATTAATAACTACCACAAACTGTCATTTTCTAAGATGTACTTGATGCAATGGTGTTGCTCATTGTATCACTTGGGCTAAGGTGTTGTTATTGATCTAGTCAGTGTCCCTTCCTAGTATAATGAAAATGAGATAGCCTCAGAGTCATTAGAGACTTAAAACTTAAAAGACCAGTTACATCTGGAAGACACCTCTGAGAAGCAATCATTCCATAAGGGTTTTAACTACAAGCAACAAAGATATTTACAATAAGCAATTTCAAAGTATCAACCCAGGAGATAAACCAAGGACAGTACCAAAAACAAAAATGAGAAGACATTTAAGCAAGGCACAAACTCAGACTTCCACCCCACCAAGGGTAAATAAAACCTGGGCGAAATGAGGTGGAAGAGTCTGACAACCAACCACGTGGACAGCCTG